CTTACAGAGGAAAATCTCCCACGACTTTATTTATGGCATGGGAAAATGAGGTAATAAAATACACTGAATATATATGAATATGTGAATTCCCTGAAGGTTATTTGTGTGTTGCATGTGCTTCTAGGTACAAAGCCAATTAAAGAATAGTGCTTTGAATAGTTAAACCATTTGTTTATCTATGTAGTGTGAACTGTGTACCTAAATCCAAAATCATGAAAAACTCTTTAATATTTTTTGGCAAACTCTTGGCTATTTTTAAATGAAAAGGTGAAAGATTTATTTAAAAAATCCCTTCCTACTTATAAAATGATGCCTGTTCACTTCTGAAAAAATTGAAAACATACAGAAAATTATTTTAAAAGAATACAAGATTAAACTAACCAGTGTAAGATGAACACTATTGACTAAGAGATTTCTTTCTTTCAAAAGTTATCTCTGGATTATGCCTGGGGTTGGTACAGATTGAGCCAATCTTTTCTGAGGCCCTGTGAGATGGATAGAATGCCAAAAATATGATACTAAGGTAATCATAGAAAGAGTACATTTTGTGTATAACGAATAGGCTCCTATCATTCTCAGGTGACCAGCTAGGTTTTCTTCTTTTACTATCGTAATGAGCTAAGAATTTAAGGATAGTTGATAAGTTTAATGTTTTGCAGGTCTTACACAGTTAAAAGCTCAAGTTGCCCCACCCATAGTAGGATTCTCTTCAGTTTGCATCCTAAATCTTTTTGATATGATTTTCATGGTCCTTGTTAAATTCATTATTATCCAATGTGAAAATATGTTCCCTGAATATATTACACATTTCTTGCACTAGACCTGGAATCAGCTTTCTCCAAGAAGCCCTAGTTTCTTTTAGCAGAAAATAACATTTCAAGAGCACAAGCAGGGCCTAGGGATGCTCATTGCTCTTGAGTTGTCATTGTATCTAAGCCTTTTCATTAGCAAATATAGGGGAAAAAAAACATGTCTGTGTTTTAAAAGATAAAATGCATCATAAGTTTATGTTGATATTTCTAACTCAAATTCAGAACTACAGTTTAACTACACTACTTTTTTTTTTTTTTTGAGAGGGCATCTCTCATATTTATTGATCAAATGGTTGTTAACAACAATAAAATTCTGTATAGGGGACTCAATGCACAGTCATTAANTTATTATTATTATTATTATTATTTTAATAAAATACTGAAGTGGTAGGTAGATGCAAGATAAAGGTACAAAACATTATTTAGTGCTGTAAGAGGGCAAATGTAGATGATCAGGTCTGTTACTAGACAAGGGCAACAAAACATCCATGGATGCAGAAGATTTCTCTCAAAACAGTGGGGGTGAGGTTCTAAGCCTCACCTCTGTTGATCCCCAATTTCTCACCTGATGGCCCCCCTGCGACTGTGCCTGTCTTAGGTAGTTCCTCCCTTGAGGAATCTTACCCATCTCTGGCTTAACTACACTACTTTTATATTACTTCTGTATTTCCTGACTTCCTCACTAAGAATCTCAGTAATCATTGACAGTGATGGAATTAAAATATCCATAAAGTCCTTATGTGTTATCCCTCATCACACACCCCAGTAGTCTCAGAATAACAATACCATCATCACCACCAATAAAAACAGTTAAATATTAAGGGGAAGGCATATGCTATCTCCATTCTCTTCCCCACTTTTTATGTTTGCACTCTACACTGTCAGAGAATATATGTATACCTTGTTTTATAGTTCTTTTCCTTATTGCCCTTCACAGATACAGTGTTTTTTACAAATTGAAAGTTTGTGGCAACCATATGTCAAGCAAGTCTATTGATGCCATTTTTCCAACAGCAATTGCTTGCTTAGTGTCTGTGTGTCACATTTTGGTAACTATAGCAATATTTCAAACTTTTTCATTATTATTATATTTATTATGATCGTCTGTTATCAGTGATCATGACTTGCTGAAAGCTCAGATGAGAGCAATTTTTAGATAATAAGGTATTTTTAAATTAAGATATGTAAATTATTTTAGACAATGCATCTTTAATAGACCACAGTATAGTATACACGTAACTATTATATGCACTGGGAAATAAAAAAAATTCATTCAACTCAGTTTATCACACTATTTGCTTTATTACAGTGGTCTGGAACTGAACCCACAGTATCTTGGAGGTATACCTGTATAGCCACTGTATACTGTACTTTCTCCTCTTTCATTTAGTTTTAGTTTTAAAGATAAGCTATATTTAGTGCTCATCACCAGTCCTTATGTTAATGTCCCTCAGATATTTTTGTTTCCTGAGCTTTTTCTCAGGAATGGCTCAAAGGAACAAAGAACATCTGCCCTAAGTTCTTGTTTGTTTTTGACAGATTTTTGTGTCCTTTCATCTTGAGGCCTTAGAGGATAAAAATTCTATGGCTAACATATTCTTTCCTTGAGAATCTTATATAGTTATTCCAATTTTTCTGGTAGAATGTGTTGCTGTCAAGAAGTCTGGTGATGAGTTAATTTTCTTTTGCTTATAAGGTTTGTGTTCTTTTTGCCTAGATGTCCTGATGGTTTTTCTTTTTTCTTTGTATTACAGCAATTTTACTAGAACATATTTTAGTGTTGGCTGATTCTATTAGGTACCTGACATGCTCTTTCAATATATGCCTTCAAATCCCTTTTTATTACAGCAAATTTTTTTTGATTTATAGTTTTTGTCTTTTTTCTTCTTTAGGAACTTCTATTATCCACATGTTGGATCTTCATTGCCTATCTTGTCAGTTTGTCTTGAAACATTTTCTTTATTTATGAATGTTCCCTCTTTCTACCATTTATTCTTCTTAAGGAATTATGTTTTGTGTTTATTCACTCTTCTGTTCCTTATAGTTTGACATTTATTTCTTTTATTTCTAATTCCCTCTTGAGTTTTATCACATTTCTAAGTTTTACCAGCTCTGATTTGTGTTGCTATTTTGTGTCATTAGTTCTTTCCTTCTTATCATTTATGTCTCATATCATTTCCTTAATGTTCTTTTGAAATAGTAGTTATAATTTTTTTTCTGGGCATGTATTACTGACATGCTTTTATTATCTGTAGGGATGTTATTCTGCCCTTTATTATTTTTTTTCAGATAGTAACTTTGTATGGCATTTGGTTTTGATACTTTTGTTTTCCTATTTTTTACATGACATCAGTTTTCCTGAACTTTGTTCGGGAAGGATGCTTGGCTCAGATAGCTTTTCTAACTTCACAGACTACCTCTTTTATCATTTTCATGCAGTATTTTAGTATGGCAGTTTGCTTTCTGAGATTTCAAACCTTTGTTTCTCTCCTCATTTTCATCTAGACCTTCTCTCTTAATGTTTTTGTTGTCTCTGACCTGCTCAATTTTGATTCTACTCCCAAGACTATGGAGTCCTCCCTTGGGAGAGAACCCTGTTTTGTGAGTTTTGTTGGAGTGTGCAAAACCCCTACATTTTAGTAGCTGTTCTCAGATTGGTGTCCTGTGTTTCAGTGTTGGTTGTTTTGGAGCTCTCCTCTTCTCAGAAGTATCAAATATCCCATTGCATCCCTTTGAGTTTTACCACACATATGCTGACATAGTGCCGGTCTTGTGGTGATTGATGATATCCCCCTCTTCATATTTTGGGCTTCAAGGGATGCCTTGTGACCTGATTTTGTTATAAATATTGCTGATGGGGTTTTGATTTTGTAATCTTTTTTGTTTTGTTTTCATGTGGAGATTTGGAAAATCTAAAGTCTATACTTCTATTACCATTTCTGTTTTCCCCAAATTTTCAAATTCATTTTATGCAGTCAGGCTCTTTTACCATGGCCCTTCATCTTTGCAGCTAGGAGTAAACTGACAGAAAGGAAATGTGGAGTAGACAAGGTACTCTGTGTGTATGTTTGTGTATGTGTGCAAGTGGTTTTAATTGGGGAAGTAGAGTGCAGCTGCTGACAGTGTTATATACATATGTGTGTGTATCCTAAAGGTTCCATTTTGACCAGAGGTACTTTTCACATTTTGAACATGGGAAGTTTTCCCTCTGGTTTGTGGCATGGGCACTATTCGTAGAACTTGTCTTTACTTTCAGATGTACTTTTGTCTCTCAGAATCACACTGGCACTACAATATTGCTAATTACCCTGTGATGGGTTAGTCTGTCCACAACTATTTTTTTCCCCTAGAATCCATGGCTATTCTGATCTGGAAAAAATTGGGCTTCTAGTTGTCTATTTCTTTTGCTTGCTACTTACTTCAGTTCATTTTTCGGTGGAGGCTTGGATAGATCTAATATCATTTCCACATCAGGCTTCTTGAACATTCATTTTGTTACTTACAAACCATGTGGTAAACTGTTGATTTTGAGATCTGGTAAACTCAAAAACTTGGGACAATGAAGGAGTTGCTTTTAACTTAAGACAAATTTCCATTAATGTTAATGAATGAAAGATTTGTCTATTGTCCTTTTTCTACTTATGCCGTCTATTTGTGATTGGTTATGGCAACTGAAAACATAATTATACAAAATAAGACTTATTAAATGACTCCATTTTAATGCAGATTTAACAGTAAGATACCAAAGTTCAGAAATAGATCTATAGTAGAGCTTACAAATTAAAAAAGTTAAAACATTTTCTACATGCAAGGCCCAGAGACTAGTTTGTGAAGTGAAGAGTTGGAATTAAATGCCTACAATGGCCAGAGAGGTTTATTAAATGTAAACAGGATCAAGTGTAATAGAATAAGGATTAGGGGAGACAAAAATAACCTGGAGAGAATTGAAATAGTGTTTTATAAAGTGCTCAAAGATAACAATGTCTGTATGCCTTCAAGTTAGTGACCCTTGATTCAGTGTGAAATGTTTATGTAAAAATTCTATTGAAGTGATTAGCCAGGTTAGTAGTATATATAACAAAAGATATTTAGCAAATTATAGGTGAATTGATTTAAGACAAACAGAAGCTTCCCATTTATACTCAAGAAAACTCAGATGTTGAGAAGAATAAATGAATAACCAGGCCCTTTATAGAAAAAATATATACTTTATTTTCAACCAGAAAGGTGCAAACATGTAACTTTTGGTCACATTCTCAACAAATAAACTGTCCAAAAAACAGTCATAGTCAAAGTAGAAACAAATGTTTCCAGGTGGAAAAACCAATCAGCTATTTAGAGTCACTCATTTTTTAATAAAGGCCATTTGTTCATTAAAAATGAGGCTATCACATTTCCAGCCTACAAATCAGACTTCCAAGAAAACTGCTGCCTTGCTTTCAGCAAACAGTCTTTTTTGAGGGAGTGCCACTCTGAGCAGAATTTCCATTTGAATATCCACTTCATGCTTTGAATTATCAGACAAGCTTTAGGTCTTACCTATGGTGTTTGAAATTGAGGCTAACATTTGAAATATCAAAGCATTAAAAAACATAAAGGCACAAACAACTTTAAATTAACTTAGATAACTGTACAAATATATATATATATACACATAATATTTACATTATCAATAAAAAAAAACTGGCTTGTTACAGGCATATTAGCTTGCCACAAGCTGTCCAGTCTAATAGGATTCTGATTCCTGAACAGTGCCATTTGAATCAGAATGTCAGAGCTGAATCTGCTGTTCTGACGTATAGAACCTGATTCAGCCTCACGATGGCTAGAGAATGCACATCCTAGCTGTTGCTGGAGATACAGGCAGGTCAGTGAGCATGCTAAAATTTTCTTTCTCAATTACACTCCAAATAGCAGGCACATCACTACTTTAAGGTGGCAAGCCTTTCTACTGGTACCCTCCCACTGCTCCTAAAGCCACACCTTAGTATACATTCTGGTGCTATGCACTAATAAGAGTCCCATGGTCAAGTCTTTCTTTAAACCAGTGTCTGGGGTTAATCACTATTAGTTTGAATGTCACATGGCACAGTATTTTGAATTTGGTGACAATTGTTCTTTTTCCCCAGTTAGAAAAACAAATTCAAATATCTTGTACTACTCCAATCATGTTTACACAAAAATGAGATGTGAATCACCAAGTTACAGCCTAAGGAGTTAATGGCTCTCACTCTCTGGCTTTATGCCATGTCTCCATACATCTTCTTGTAGTACAGTGACTCAAAGATATCATTGTCTCCAGGACAGTTGTAATGGCAGGCACAGGTCTTGATGAACATCATGCTCTTCTTCATGACCTCGCCATCAGGGCATTTGAACTCCACAGGGAGAGTGGTGGTTCTGTGGGGGGTGCAGCACCGGCCATCTGTGCACACCCCGCAGAACTTGGCACGGTAAGTCTTGACACTGGTGCAGCCAGAAAGCTCAAACTTGACAGGCTTGGAGATTTTAGGGGTACGGATGCACTTTTTACCTTTCTAAGGAAGACAGGGGAGAAGAGAAAAATCAATGACTCTACAAGGGGAGTGGCTTTCTTCAAACTGTGTGTTCTAGTCTGAGGCTATCTGACTTCTGTTTAATTTTAAGGAGAGGAAGTTTGAGTCTCATTTGCCAGTTTACCAAAAACAGACAGCCTCTCTTGGGATGTCTTGAATTAACTAGCACTGTGGAGGGTTTTGTAGTGGAAAGCTGGTGGGTCATATTACACAACACCTCATTCCAGCAAAACAGGTCAATGGTCAGATATTTCTGGAGATAAAGGGTCTTTAAGAACTAGGGCTGTGAGACCTAACTTTGGTCCTATCCACTATCATTCCATGAAAATTAGGTACTAGGAGCATAACATGTACCTTGATGTTCTCCTCCAGGTCAGCTTCGCAAGGCCTGACCATGCACAGGCGGCTCTGCTTCTCCAGCCTGCAGAAGGCGTTGTCATTGGTCACCCGGGTGGAGATGCCCATCCCACAGGTCTTGGAACAGGCACTCCACTCTGTGGTCTGGACCAGGCAGTTGGCCCGAATCATAGTTGGGTCTGGGCCAAACGTGTCTTCCAGCCGGTATGCTGTGAAAGCAGAGCACACAAACACAAAGTAAGACGCAAGGCTGAGATATTTCCCCCCTTCCCAAGGCAAAGCTCACTTAGAGGGAGGCTCAACTCACCTGCGAGGGCAGGGCCAACCACAGTGTGGTCCTTGGGCTTATCGCACACCCACTCCTCACAGCATTTCCCGGGCAGCTTGACCCTCCGAGGGAAGGGGCAGTCAGGGCTGGGCAGGCGAACATCCATGCTGCACAGGGGCACGCAGCCCACTGCCCCGTCCAGGCAAGTGCATTGGTATTTGCAGCTGCTCTGGAAGGACTCTCCGCTCCGGTACACCGTCCCTCCGAAGACGCAGGGGGCACCATCTTTGGCTGAAGGAGAGGAAGGGAAAAGGGGTTTAACGCAAGGGTGAGGCAGCGGTCTCCGGCCCTCTAACAGTCGGGGATGCGAGTTGGAAGCAGGACTCCAGGGGGCGGGCTGGACACAGCGGAGCTTTAAAGAACTCAACTGCAGCGGCTGATTTCCTGGAGGGCGAGTGGGAGTGAGGGAGGAGGTGGCCGGTCACCCAGGGGTGGTGGAGGCGGAGGCAGAGGCGGCGGCGCGGGGCGAGGTCTTACCGGTGCACACGCCGATCTTGCGGTTGGCTGGAGAGCCGAAGTCGCAGAAGAGGCCCTTGTGCGGATCGCAGGGGTCGCGCTCGGTGCACAGCTCGCCCAGCTGCTTGGCGCACACCCGGCAGCAGCCGCAGCCGTCCAGCACGAGGCTGACGCCGGCCGGGCACCGCGGCGCCGGCGCGGCCGCGCACTGGCATCGGCCGCTGCAGTCCTGGCCGGAGGAGGGCTGCGGAAGGAGGCGGCGGTCAGCCGGTCGCACGCCCCTCGGCGCCGCCGGGCCCTCCCCTTCCCGCCGAGTCCCTCCCTACCCGAGTCCCTCGGCGCTCCCCGAGCGCCGGCAGCCGCGGGGGTCTCCGCACGCTTACCCGGCTGCAGAGGGCGAGCAGGAGCACGAAGGAGAAGCGGACGGCGGACATGGTCGGGGCGCTGCGGGCGGCGGGTGGGGCGCGGACGGCCGGGCGCTGAGACGCGGGCTCGGGCCGACTGGGGCCTGGACGCGGCGGGCTGTGTTCTGGCGCTGTCGGCTGGGGCGGCTGCCGTCGGGCTGGAGGCGGTCGGTCTCCTGCGTTTAGAGTTGTACTGGCTGCCTTCTCTCTGCAGGAAGAGTTGTTGTGTGAGGCTAGGGCGGGCGGCCCCAGGCTTTTATACGCTCCGGGCGGCTCCGGCTCGCCAATGAGCTGAATGGAGTCCCACACAAACAGGGACATTCCTCGCGTTCCTGCCCGCCTTCCTGCCTCATCAACTCGCACCGGATTGATCCTGACCCCTTGACACTCAGCATTCCTCCGTCTGAAAAAGCTGGCACACTCCAGCTCACCGAAAAAAAAAAAAAAGAGGCTCAGTATTTCCAGCACCAAATAGGATTTTTTTTCCTTTGCTTCTTCGCACCACTGCTGATTTATATCATTTAAAAACACATCGGCAGTTATTTATTTCTTTTATGCCACTCACTTCTGTATCTAATAGCTGGCCCTGTTCTACCCAGTGACATTAATTCTTTATGAGGGAGTTAACTGAAGAGGCTAACAGCAGGGGTTTCTAAAAAATTCGAAAAGGTTTCCTTTTTATTATTTGTAATGATTTTAATTTTAGAGGCTGTCTGCCTTTGAAACTCTTCAGAGAATAGAAAAGGAGTTGCTTCTAACCAGCTGAAATCTTCAAGAAGCCTGCTTGCACAACCCCTAACTCCGTATTGGAGGTATAGGAATTGGATCATCATTTTAGATAAAAGAGTTGGGATGCCCATTGCCAGACAAGAAAGGAAACAAAGCTGGGGGTCCGAGTGTAAATACGGTTTTCTCGGGGTGATATCCAGTCTTCTTACTTTGTTTATATGCTGCAGATTTACTGTTGGGGTTATAAGGAGGGAAAGGAGGTGAGTGGGCATCAGTGTTTTCAGAAAAAATGGGCTTGTTATGTCAGAGCAAATGAGTATGTGTTGGATAGGTAGAGGCTCTGGGACAAGGACACAGGGTGGGAAGAGAGGGGAACCAGGTAGGAGGGGGCCAGCAAGAAGCTGGGGGTTTGTTTACTAGGGTGTTTTAGACACAGTTTGGATCTTTGAGAAATGAGTCATTTTTCTAATCCTAAAACCTATAACCTTCAAATGTGGATTAGACTTGATTTGTCTTGCAGTAAAAAAATCTGATATGTAACAAGAACAGTGCACCCCGTTATTTCTGGTTGTAAATTAAAAGTGCCAGTGAGTAATGTATTTTAGTCACTCTCCACACATCTATGAATAGGGATTGTGACTTCTTATTGCTCAGGGAGCCTGCAGTGCAATGGAGTAAGATCAGGTCAAGAAAGAAACAGGTTTTATTTTCTCTGCTTGTGTGCAGATATCAGACATGGTCAATAAAGTCTAAGTACTCTGCCCATTTCTTAATATTGCTAGTTAGCTTCACCAAGGACTCAGTTAATTGTGCTTTTATTTACAATCTAAGGTTTAGTTGCTTTTTTGTTAATAACTCCAGTTACCATTTTATGTAAAGAGGGTGATTCCAGGGCCATGCCTCTTTTATTCATTGTAATGCCACATTATTTGACGCTGCTGGTACCAGTGAATAAGGTCACTTCAGTTGTTCATGCTTCAGCGTACAGATTTAAGGTAAACATGCCTGTTTCTGATGCAAAGGCAAGATTTCAGAAACAATACTATAGATTTATAATTTGAAAACAGCCTGTTTAAACTGGCCCCATTTTTAAAGATGTTTCAATTAAACCTACTGAAAAATAGCCAAGAAAAAAATAACCACTACAGCTTCAGCATAGACCACATCATCTGTGTACAATTACTTCGTTAGGCAATTCGTATGTTGTACACTGTAGTTGCATATCAATAGTGTGAATGGTCGGTCAGCAAGGGAGGCCTCTGAAGCTCAGGAAGAATTTTCATCATTGTTACTTAATGTTTCTTCCAAGCATGTCTCAAAGAGGCCTGAAAGTTCCTATTTAAAGAAGGAACATTCCAAGTTATGTTAATAGCCACATGTGTGTTAAAGACAACTTGGCCCCCAACTTTTTCTTCCCTTGTGGATGATTTTAAATGTCCAAAATATGTGGGAAGCCACAGTGAAATCTTTCAAGACCTAAACCCCCAATTACATCTACCACTAATGGTTGGAAAGGTGTGGTAGATGGGGAAGGGTAGGGATGTGAAGCTGGAACCTCACTGAGGGTGGGATGTGGGCTCGGTGGTGAGTTCTTGTGGCTGGTGGGGTGAGGTAGATGAGAGAACAGTTGGAAATTTTTGGATCTTCTGAAGTATCTGAGAACCACCATCAAGCAGCCTCATGTACAGCAGAGAGGAGACTCTCATTCATGGAAGGGATAAATTGCTGGACTGGGTTAAAGTTGAGTGACCTGGTTTGTATTCTTGGAACTGCCATTCACAAATCTTAGGGAAGTCACAAGTAAGAGCCATATTTCCACGTTTTCATTTATAAAACGATGATATTAATGACAGTGTTTTGTTTCAGATGGTTTAGTGATGACTAACGGGATTAAAATTCTCAGGGAATTGGTGCTTTTTTTTTTTTTCGATCTTTCTTAATTTTCTTTTTTACCACAAACATAGGTATATGACCATTTGCTGGGTTGTTAAAAATATCAAGACATATTATAGAAAGAACTTGGTTTTACTATAAAATTCATGTGGTTCCTCGAAGTCTCAGAAAGTCCAAAGTTAGCTCCAAATGGATGGTTTTAATATTGGCTGAGAGAAAATAACCATACTGAAAAATACAGAACATGGACTCTCAGGGTAGAAAAATACACTGTGCATTATAAAGTTAGGTTGAGGCTTTATGGTGAAAACTCTTTTGAGGAATTTAGAATAAAAGATCATTGCTAAGAGAGAGACAGAGAGCAAGAGAAAGAGGGTGAGAAAAGACACCCCAAGGTATTCACAGACTGAAAGGTATGTTTATATTGTGATACAGACCATTAAGTGCCAGGAAATTCAAAGGGAAGGGCTGACACTCTGCCCTAAACTCATGCCATGGGATCTGAATTCTTGCCCTATTATAAATGACTCAGCAAATGTTTGTGTGCACCTGGGAGGTGAAGTAGAAATAGTGGATTCTTATAATTTTGTCCAACTCTGACTTATCCCAACCCTTTTGATTGACAACAGGTCAGAAGTGGGAGAAAAAGGTCTTTGAATTTGTGTGCAAAATGGTTAAGATGCACTAATTTTGTCTTGTATGCAAGTGTTTATGTGGCTAATGCTTTTTAGAGAGGTTTTTTTTCTCCTGGTAAAATGAAGAATTCACTAAGCTGGCCACTGAGTCCTGTTTACAGAGCTATATAAGGTATGTGGGTGCTATGCAGGCATCATTTGTACAGGTCATTTGGTTAAGTCTTGCAAGATGTTCAGCTGTTGGATATGCTACATTCCTTCTCTCATGTTTTTTTGTTGCCCCCCCATCTCTTCCCCACCCCCCCAAAAAGGTTACTTAATCAGGTATCAGACATAGAGAAAACCTGGCAAAACTACAAGGAAGTGGCGAGACATGGAGGGTTTGTGTACTTAAAGAAGGAATCTTGCATATTTTCAACTACCCGTCGTAGACATTTTCTTATAAGAGCAAGTAGGACTCTGTGCCAGCCCTCAAAGTGGAAATCAAAGCTCCCAGGGAAACATACTGGAGGAATGTGACTCAGAGCCAAGACCCATACGCAATGCATAAACTGAGCTGTTAGATTTATAGGAAGTCTGGCCGTATAAGGGCATCTGGACAGTGAACAATTTGTTGTTATGGTGGGTTGAGAGTGGGCTTCCGATGTTTCTAGCATGCCTCAAACTCAATCATGTAAATGAATTCCAGTAAAAATTGATGTGCCAGAAGGCTTTTTGAAAGCCGGTAATAAATATTATCCTAAAATCTTCAGGGACCCTGGTTTGGTTTGCACGGCCTTATATATTTGCTTAAGATGAAGGTTAAAGAGGGAGCATACTCCCTGGGAGTTCAAGGTGGGAAAGAAGTACGGATGTTTACTATCTAAATTACATTCATTTCCTTCATGCTTTTCATCCTTATAATTAGTTCTCTGACTTTCTTAGGAAGTTTTCTGATGCAAAGGTATTTGCAGAAGGTAGTCAAGGCTGTTCCATGTGGTCTGTGTTTTATGCTTGCCTGTTCATTTGCTTGCTTGTGGATGGAGTTGGGGGTTAGAGGAGTGAGAAAGGAAAGGAATTTTTAAAATACAGTATTTCCTTCAGTTGACTAGTTGCCTCACTGATTTTATAAGTTTACTCAGAATCCTGTGTTGCCTTTAGTGTGCTGGCATTAATCTGAGATGGTCCTGGAGAACGTGAGTGCCACGTGGATGGAGATGTGTCTCTAATAATTTTCCTGACAGATTAGTGACTTCAATTTATTACAATTTAGCAACCAGGAATCTTTCTGCCCTTTGTTTTATCAAAGTGGGACAAGTCTCCTTGGTGATACTTAAAGTGATATTTATTTTTTTATGAAAAGTATTTATGAAAGTACTGTTGTATAATGTATTAGGATTTTAAATTAAACCATTTCTTCTGTTCTTCAATGGCTCTTCCTTGCCCTTAGAACTAAGTCCAACTCAGCCTTGATTTGAAAACCCATTACAGTCTGACTTTATAACACCATTCAGATTTTCAGGGATTTTGGAGTGTTAAAATTCTGTGAGCTTTGAGAAAACAAAATTCTACTTCATGTGTTAGATTAGATGCTCAGAATTGAGAGAGACATTTTACAAATGAAACTTTTTTGTCTTCTCTTACGTCCATTACATGTCATCTGTATGAAAGAAATATGACAATATATTTCTCTTTGAATCATAGTTTTCAGGATACATAAAAAGAGAATGTATACCCAGCTTATTTTAGTCACATGATAGCATTTGCTCTCTTCATTTGCGTTTTATAGATTTCATTCCATTTTTGGGGGATGGGGAGGTAGGAGGGGATTCAAAGGCTCCCTTCTTCAGTGAAAAGCATATAAGCTACAGCTAATCCTTAAGTAACAATATGGTATATAAATGTTAAAGAAACAACTAAAATTTATTATTACCTGTGTCCATGATGTTTTCTTTAGGTTATTTATTTCTCAGAAACCAAGATGGTATTCTTTTGCCTAACATAATGTCACAGACATTTTACACTCTACATGTCTATGAGTTGACATTTTTTCTTTTATTTTGTTATATGAACTGTGTTACCATGAGAGTGATGAGCAAG